GAGAGGAAATGCACGGAATATAGAACGTTTACTGTTTTTGAGCACAACTGGGGATGCTAGAAATATTTTTTTAATATTCTCAATGTATTGCACTGTGACCTAATTGCAAGAGTTCACTGCCTGGTAAATAGGTTTTGTAGCAACAAATGTTTGGGCTTCACGAATACGAGTGTAACTGCAAACTCGAGAAAGGCTCAACTTTTTCACCTCAGAGACTTGAACTATAAACCTTTCTCATGTCCTTTTGACATTTCGGGAAATGGACCTCATTTGAGTGTTCTATGTGGACTCTCCTATGTGAAACCCATGGAAATGTTTCAAAAAAAGCTGTGGCAGCCTTTAAACGACTCTCTGTCCGCCGCGCCACAGATGTTGTGTAAGCATTAGGTGCGAACGCTTCTGTACTCTCTCTCGCGCCCACAAGTTTGGCTGATCGAGGGTGGGAAGGAGATCTCTTCTCAAACAAGACTCAGCCACACACAATCCCCAGCAATTTCTATAATAAGAAATAGTTACTTGCATAGCTAGTTTTAAGACGTCTTTGAACTGGTCAGGGGCTTGGAAATTGTGGTAATGATATTGCCAAGAAAAATCTGCCATCAAAGAAAATTGCTTGCGCCGGAGCAGGGTTATCCCCGCATCCGCTGTCTGGCTGTGGCCAGCGGGCTCCAAATTAACGCGACCACGCTCCGCTGAATTTTTCCCACAAGCTGCCTCCGTGGCCTAGTACATGGGAGGAGCCCTTGTGAGAAAAGGCGCGTCCAAAAAGAGACGGAACGTGGACGGGGGGGAGCGACGCCTCCGTGTAGTGACGGAAAGTGTAGGGCGGAAATGAAGAGGACGTGGCAAGATTGGACTCGAATAGTTTTGTATATTTGATTTTCACTGGCCGGTGTTTGCCTATACGGTTCGCTCCTCAGTTGAGGCAAACGGATTACGTACCATTGGCACGACTTCTCGACGACTTGGCTTGCATGTCTTGCCCCGTTCTTCTTCTTTGTTCCCGTTTTTAGGTAACGGCACCTTCAGCATTTCAAGTTTTGAGCTCTGTCTGGATAATAGTGATCCTGTCGGCTTGTTGTTACCCGTCGATACTTTTGCCTTATCCAGCCCTTTCGTTGTTCATTTCTTTATCTAAGTTTCAAGCAGTTACTGTCGTGAAGAGGAAACATCGCGCATGATGAGTGAATCTAAATACATAAGTTCTGCAAAAGTTCTTTTTTGCATTTTTACTTTCAAAATCGGTTCGTGTATGTCAGTAAGTTGTTATATGCATTCACTCAATCAAGTCCATGGAGATTTTTAGCTCTTCAGACCTATGCAGGGCGGTTCTGTATATGATGTGTAAGGGTGTGAACTAAGCATCCTGCAGATTAAGTAAATGGATTTCTTTCCCAGCATTTCTCTGCTGAGACTCGGAAAATTACGAGTCTTCTTTATAAGACCTTGCTCTCATGGACCGAAAGCTTCCGTGTTATCAAAAGTTTTCCTTAGGTTTTGTTTTCTGCTCCTAAATATGCATTCTGCATCCAAAGGAGTATCATCATTCATTTTGGCCTTTTTTTACTGTGGGTCGGTGTTATTGGATGCGGTGACTGCAGAGTATTTGCAGCGTTAATGGCGTAATATTTACTTGGCTGTCAATTTCGTCTACATTTGTTACAGTTGTTTCTTCTCTTCCCATCCAATATTTCTGCGCGTTTTTCCATAAAGATTACGGCAGTTCTTCATCGATTTCGTTTCATTGATTGGTTTTCAGAGACATGATAACATCTATGTAAACGATCGAGCACGTATTGAGAAATGGGGCTTTTCCCGTTTTTTACTCGCGGGGCCGGAAAGGTTATCTATGCCAAGGTAACCACAATGGATGCGGACCTCGACCGAATCGTTGTTGAGGTACCTTTTTTGCAGAGAAATTTAATTATAATTACTTTGCTTGTGTACTGATCATCCTTTGCCCTAATTTGAAAGTCGGGCCCATTCTGATAAAACGCAATTGGGCAATATCTACCATTTACTGCCCCAATCATCCGAAATCTGGCCAGATTATGACCAACTTTTTTTCTCTGAACTGAACTGGCTAATAATTTGTCTTCTGGGGTGTTTGACCTCCTGAATACGAATATCGCATCGCTTGGCACGAAACTTGGCGCCCGCGCCACAGCCGCCAGCGCCAAAAACCCAAAATCGCTGAAAACTCGTTCCTAGGAGTAGTTTGACCTCCTGATCACGAATATCACATCCGCTCGGCACGAGACCTGGCGATCGCGCTACAGGCGCCGGCGTTAAAATACCCAAAATCACCAGTGTCTGTGGCGCGGGCGCCCAAAGGTTTCAGACTAAGCGAATGTGATAGTCGTATCTGGGAATAGTACCCCAGGAGACAGCATTTGACCCAAAACTGTCACGGAGAAAAAAGTCGGTCAAAAACTGCACGACTCCGGATGATTGGGGCATTAAAGGGCAAATAGCGCCTGCAGTTGAAAAATTTTGGGATTGGATTTGATGGAAATTGTCTCTGGAGGTAGATTGACCACCTGAACGTGAATATCATATCCGCTTGGGGCCGAAACATCTGTGCCGGTGGTAATAGCTCACTTTATTAGGCGATTTCGCACCATACGGATTTGTTATAACACACTGATATCACGTAAGGGAGTCAGATCTCGCTGGAAACACGTCCTGAGCTCCGATGTCTGCGGCGCGGCCGCCAAACCGGTTTCTGGCCAAGCAAAAGTGAAATTCTTGTTCAGGGATAAAACACCGGGGGGGGGGGGAGAATATCAGAAGGAGTCTATAGAGGGAAAAGTCGATCAGAATTTGCTCGGGATCTTGAAACGGGATCGAAAATGGGAGACTGTGTCTGTGTTTGTTAATGTAAGACACCAGAATCATTACAGATCCGCTTTTGAACGAGTTTTTCTGGCCGACTCGTCTTTTCTTGGAGGCGCGCTCCAGGCTCAAAAATTAATCGTGCGGCTCAAATATTAATGATAAGACTGTGAATGACACAAAAGTAAAGAAAAAAAATCACTAGAAACCCGTTTGAAACGCTCCATGTAGAACCCATGCTGAACCACGTTCGTTCCTGCGCAAGGCGAAGAAAGGGCGTGGTCGGATGAGTTTTCACTTGCTATGCTAGCTGTTTCTGCTTATCACCTCGCTCCCCTTTTCGATTGGGGAGAGACCGTAGCGGAACAACGGTACTATCAGGTAGCGGTTAAAAATGAATGTTGGGCGTTGCCTTGGTAAGTGGGCGGGGTTTTGAGCTCTTCGCAGCCGAGTTGCACGTTCCTCATATTTACTTTTGAGCTGGGAAAGTAGTACATCCTCCAACCAAGCAGGACTATAGAAGACGCTACACACCGCTTGAACGCGGGGTGTGTCTTCAGATAATCTGTGAACTGGGGTTCCTTAGCAGATATAATTTGATTGATTAATTTCCCTCTCCGGCCTGAAAGCCGATAACTTTATTTGGTCGTGTGGGGTCCTGTCCAATCTTGGTTTCTACAGCTGTGTCTACTTAATAAGGCAGCCTACTGCCGTTTCCGGGTTTTGGCCAAAGAATTCGATCTTTGAAAACTGCACTTTCAGCTGACTCCTTTATCTCTTTCCAACCTTCTGAACAAGTAGTGTTTTCATCGATCGGTGGTCATCGGATCACTAACCATAAATTTTTGCTCCTATCTCGCACCACCCTTCCCCCCTCCCTGCCTTATAATTTGATCCCTTGAATGCGCGCAGAAAGGGGTTGCGAATAGAAAGTGTAGGCCAGATGATGTTTCTTCATATCACCTGTGTAACTGGAAAGAGGCAAAGGGTCTTTTCATGATGCCTTTGTCTGGTCTTTAAAAGTTACTCGTCTTTATCCAGTGTCGGTTATATTTTTTAATCTAAGTTCCCCTTCAATGGAGAGTTAGACCATGTTTTTTTGCGACACTGAGGAAAGGACACGTCATACACAGGGCAATACCATTGGGAGTCGTATTTGGTCGCTAGAGAAGTGGGGGGAGGCGGAGATGGTCTGAGCAGTTTTTTTTTCTAATAGTTGATTTTTGCTGTTTCGCGCGTCGTTCGTATCCATGGTCGTGGAATAGTCTGATTGCGGAAGGGGTCTTTTTTTAGTCGTCGCTTTGGAAAGGTGAGGAGGGTCGTATCCGGCCTCCAAAAAGCCAGAAAGTTTTCTGTTGTTCACTTCTGACGGTTTTCCTGTCTCACGTGCTGTGACCCCTCACCCCCCCCTCCCCTCCCCGCAAGGTTTCTGGTTACTGAATCTGTAGAAGTTGAGAAGGTCCAGGAAGACATTGGGGTGAACTTGCCAAAATTTTCTTCAGCGGCAGGACCCTAATTGATGAACAGAGCAATCAGGGAATAGGGGAATGTTCGCTGAAGTAAAGTCTCATTCCAGATCCCCAATCTTTTCTTTTATTCTTGTGCTTCCCAGTTCTCGTTCTATTCTTCTCTTGAATAGCGACAGAGATACCTTCCCCATCCCCACACAAGAATGGAAGGGCTATAAAAGAAGCTGCTGGTGATAGGGGGCTGTCTTCTATTTTCTTTTTTTGGATATCCCCTCCTTTCTCAAAGGGGCTACCCTCGCCCTGAGTGTTCTCCTGCTCCAGCCCCGCCAAAAAGCTGGAACTTCCTCTATTGAGCTGTAGGTTAGGTCTTAATGAATGCGGCCCGAGGAAGGCTGTTGTCCAATTTTCATTTCTGCAATTAAATGCTCTCACGAATTTATACGGTAGTGGATCACTTGATGCGCCCCAAAAAGTGATCGAATTCAAGATCTTCATAATTTTTTGTCATATGAAACCAGTTGCTAGTTTTTAGTTGTAACGCAGATTTATTGTAAGAATGTTGACTCTCATTAATTACAGGCAAGTTGGACTGGCCGTCATTTATTCGATGCAGTTTGCCGAATTATAGGCCTCCGAGAGGTCTGGTTTTTCGGTCTGCAATACACAAATAAGAAGGGTTTGCCATGTTGGCTACAAATGGATCGAGAGGTGAATATATTGCTCTCTGACGTGAGCATTCCTTTCGAGCCATTCGCGTTTGATGTTATCGTTCAACAGTTTATGTTTTAGATAAGAAAACAGGATGTTCCACGAGAGGGAGATGGTTGTATGCAGTTTTTATTCTTGGTCAAGTTCTACCCAGAGGATGTTGAGGAAGAGCTAATCCAAGTGGGCTCATAGTTTACACCGGCCTTTTTGTTTTTTTTACATTTTTTTTTCAAGAGGTAAATTTTGATGATCTCATTCCACTTTTAACGACCACCCCTACGTTTTGGTCTGGCACTTGAGTCAGGGCCGTTATCGTTGTAGAAATCGCAGCGCGTAGGTCGTAGTCGACGGCAAGGGAGGGGAGGGGGAGACTGTAGGCGCAAGACTTACTAAGAAATAGGAAGAGCAAATATCCGGCTTAAATCCCACTTAGTCGTTACCCCCCCCCCCCTTCCAGGTCTTCTTACCTCTGGACTTCACTACAACTCCCTCACTTGGTCCTTATTCTCTCAAAGGTGGAATGGAGCACTTGTTTTCCAGAGCGTTCCCTTCACGCATTTGTTTTTCCTCTTTCTTTATATTTCCATGCTGTTTTGAGTCGGGGTATAATAGGGTCGGGAGTGGAAAGAGGGAATGCGGCGCGTAAGCGCTTCCCTGAGTCAAGGCTCGGCATGGGTAGAGCGCAAACGACTACAACAGACATGGCCGCGCTGCACGGTGTCCCCCTCCCCCTTCCCATCCGCTACTACATGGTACCACTTTTTAGTAATGTTTTAGATAACCAAAATCGGAATTATCAGAATTTGCAATTTTCACAGTAGCGCTCAGCACAAATACGAATTAGCTTTTGTTTTTTCTTAAACTGATATATTTCGGAGTAATGAGGTTGTGCAGTTCAGGGCAATTTACTTCATAGCCCTGTTCAGAATAGGACCTACTTTGTTAACACTATTTGAAAAGTTTCCTTTCTCTGTTTCAGGATCTCACTCGGCATCTTTTCTTTTTACAAATAAAACAAGCCATATTATCCATGGATCTCTATTGTTCACCTGAGGCTTCTGTACTTCTCGCAAGTTTCGCTGTTCAAGCAATTGTAAGTTTTGATGGTATCAATATTGTTGGTGGAATTCTATACTAAGAGGACTACGCATAGATTGTCGGAAAAAACCGGCTTTTTCCTGACTTTCTGCATGCTTAGGCAGAAAGTAAGCAACGAGTCTCGAAAAACCCGAGTAATGTTTTTCGTTTATTCTGTAGGACTGTTTAATCTCGCCGTCATTTAAATCGGATTATATATTGCTCGTCCTGGTCCTATCTATCTTGAGGCGACAGCTGGCATACTGGCCAAGCAGGCTTCGCTTACCGCAGGATGGTCCTGCCTGATTCAAATCCTGGTGTAACTCTCGCCAGTCAACCAACTTTTTACTGCGCGGTGAAAAATGTGATTCGTTTGGGAGGATAAAACGCTTACTTGTACATCGGCTGATCTCGCACATTGTATAGACCATATCGTATTTATAAGCCTTTCCTGGATCAAGTAGCTCACTTACCTCGAAGCTTTCCCATTTGAAGTGAGCCCTTTCCTCCTGCAGTCCCATTGCTCATATAGCCACTGTCTTTACCCATGTACGCATCTCACATTCCGCGCAGGACTTTAGAAAAAAGTCAGCGCGCTACTATTTTATGGAGGAGGTTACATGCCTGATTCACCCTTGATGCACGACATTCTATTTTTGAAATTCGATTACAAAGATAAATGGACTACCTTTTTATAAGTGAGACGTCTACGGTTTCCATTTATCGCGGCCTGATTTTTCATTTATTGCATTTGAGATTCATTCAGAATGGAGATTGCACGGATGACACCGGGCCATTGGATTTGGACAAATTGTTACCGAAAAGCGTCATTGATCAGTACGATATGAGCGCTGATATGTGGAGAGAGCGTATTAAGCGCTGGTGGATCAACAATCACGGCCAATCGAGGTTGTTTTTTTAATTTTTGATTTTTCAGCTTGGAGACTTCGGCTCGATAGGTGCCGCAACTATCGGTCGGCGAGCAGGGAGGGCTGTCAGAGTGACTAGGTCTGATGCGGGGCTGGGTTAGCCATACTGCGGTCTGCTGTAATGGAGTGCAAATTAGGATTTTACTTATTGAAGAGAAGAAACAACTACTATGAGTGCATGCGAGCGTTATATTGACGAGCGAGCATGGAGGTGAATTGAGAAATTACCACCTCCATTACAACAGACCCAGTTCAGCGCAAGGAATCTTCAAAATGTCCCATTTTGCTCGACTTGCGCCAGTAAAACTCGTAAAGAGTGAAATGTTTTTCAACGAGCTTCCTAGGTACTTTGACTACTACTTACTTTCAGGGAAGACGCTGAAATGGAATATCTCCGTGTGGCCCAAGATCTCGAAATGTATGGAATACTATACTACCCAATCTGTGTATGGCAGTTTCTCTTGTTCATGTTTTCTGTTGATTGTTTATTTTACCTGCGAATTTATTTTTTCTTTTCAGAACAAGAAAGAAACTGATCTACATCTTGGTATTTCGGCACAAGGTCTCGGTATATATAAGGGCTCAAATCGGATAACACCGCGGCCGTTCTTTTCATGGAGCGAAATCAAAAATATTTCATTCTATAACAAGAAGGTTTGTCCAACATGAAGCGGTGGAAACTATTTTTTGAAGAGTGCGAGGTATCATTGAAAATTTTCAGTTCCATATGAAAACGGTGGATAAGTCGAAGATATCGTTTCGTGCCCAAGAGAGAACTATAAATCCTTCAATTCTTGATTTGTGTATAGGAACCCACAATCTATATCTCCGACGTCGTCAACCGGACACTTTAGAGGTACTTCTTATACTCGCATGTGCTTTTTTTAACCTGTCTATTTTAACGACTATTTTATTTGGGGTAAGCATTCTGCTTCTAAGTTGTTACTATTTGTCTTTACTCGTCGTTGCTACTTGTTACTCGTTGTTTTGCTACTGCTCTCCTTTCTAGGTGCAACAGATGAAAGCGTTGGCAAAAGAGGAACGAGCTCGGAGACAGGTTAGTCGCCCTCTTCAAAATGTTACAGTCACTACGCCACCAATAAAGCTACGTCAATGTGCCACGAAATGAGGAGAATTTTCAGTTTTGGAACA